CTGGTTTCCGCTTCCCTTGCTTACTCCCCCACCAAAACTGTCGTATGATCGAGGTTATGTTTTCACATAGTCCCCTCGGTAGCCGGAAGCACGCCATTGAGTACACTGGTATAGATTGTGCCACGGACTTTATTAACACCTCCTTTCCTGCAACTGATAATAGCTTCTGCATCCATCCTCTTATCTTTTCCCATATTCCGTCTGTAGATATTTAAATTTTCCCATCTTCGATTGGCCAACATCCATGGGCATACCCAAGTATCGATCACTTAGCGACTCATTATGAACATGCAGAATATTTTTAATACTATCCCTTCACTATTGCGGGCACCCTTTGCTACAGAAGATAGATGACTTCTCATGATTGATCCTCTGACCTGATGCATTGCAATATTTCTCCAACAGGTTTGAAACCGACGTTGCCCCCTCATTACTTGCCTTAAACAACAGCAGGCTATCGTCGGCGAAAAGGAGGTGATTCACAACCGGAGCTGTGGGAGCCACCTTGATACCCTCAACACTCGACGACTCAGAACTGGATTTTAACAGGCACGAAAGGCCCTCTGCTGCAATTAAGAAAAGATAAGGGGAAATGGGATCTCCCTGTCGGATACCTCTGGATGGTATAAACTGCTCAAGGTTCTCTCCATTGAACATGACTGAAAAAGACACGGACCGAACCATGCTCATAACTGTGTGAACCCATGGTTGTGCAAAACCCAATTTCTCCATCATGGCCTGCAGATAATCTCATTCAAGCCTGTCATAGGCTTTCATCATATCCAATTTTAGAGCACAGAAACTGTTGGACTTGGCCTTGCCCCGCTTCATGAAGTGTAGACACTCATAGGCACATATAATGTTATTTGTAATTAGCCTGCCGGGAACAAAAGCTGACTGCTCATGAGAGATAATATCAGGAAGGATTTGCTTGAGCCTATTTGCAACGACCTTAGATGCAATTTTATAAATAACATTACAGAGGCTAATAGGACGAAACTGTGCAAGTTGAGTTGGATTCAAAACCTTGGGAATAAGTACCAGAACCATATCATTTATGCATGAAGCACTCTCCTCCCCTCTGACTATTCTGAGCACAGCCTGGGTGACCTCTTCTCCACAGATATCCCAATGGCGCTGATAGAAGTGAGCAGGGAAGCCATCAGGCCCCGGCGCCTTTGTCGGAAACATCTGAAATAGGGTTGTCTTCACCTCTTCATTGGTGTATGGGGCTAACAGAAAATCGTTCATCTGTTGAGTTACTTTAGCATTTACTGTAGAGAGGACTTGATCCATCCCAGTTACACCTTCGGAAGCATAAAGGTTTGTATAGAAATCTGAAACCATAGTCCTCAAAACTCCTGGATCATCCATCATTATTCCAAGGGAGTCAACAAGTGCTTTGATCATATTTCTCTTGCGTCTCTGGCTCGCGCGTAGGTGGAAGAAGCGAGTATTCCTGTCACCCGCCAACAACCAGTCAAGTCTAGACCTCTGCCGCCACATTAGTTCCTCTCTGTGATAGAGCTCTATCAATTTCTCATTAATTTTTAACTCGATATGAGTTGGTCCCACCCTCGCTGGGTCGTTCCTGAGGCGTTCAAGCTCAGTCTTGAGACCTTTTACTTCCTTTCGAACCGATCTGAAAGTATTCTTATTCCATCGTCCCAAGTCAGCCGCAACTAGACCCAACTTAACACAGAGTTCCTCCATTCTAGCTGTCGCACCGCCCGATGTCCAACTTTGCATCAGGTTATCGCTCCAATTTTCATGCGTCTCCCACATTACCTCGTACTTGAAATCTCGTGGTACCTGTCTAACCAGCGTGTCATGCATATTCAGGAGGATCGGACAATGGTCAGAGTTGGCAGTCATTAAGTGTTTCAAGCTAGCTGCCGGAAACCTCTCACTCCATTCAGCCGTTGCAAGGGCTCGATCTAGCCGCACCCTAGTATAGCTGCCCCCAGAAACTTTTTTCTCATAAGTCCAAAAATGACCCTGATAGCCAATGTCCATGAACATGCAGACGTCCACGGCGTCTCGAAAACCCTGAATCTGAGCATTACTCCGTTCTCATGTACCTTCATGCTCTTCCGGACGTAACACTTCATTAAAATCACCAATGCAAACCCAAGGTAAATCATTCAAAGTACTAATTCCCTTCAAAACATCCCACGTTTGGTGCCGCATGTGGGTTTGGGCCTCCCCATATACTAGTGTCATCCTCCAAGGATCTGTGTCATCCTCTCGAACAGAGCAATTGATGTGATACGGAGAATAGCCCAAAATCTCAACATTTATTGAATTATTTTAGAAAATCCCTAAACCTCCACTTCTACCTTGACTACTTACAGCGTAGCCATTATCATAACCAAGAGTTGTAGCTAGCATCTCTACCCTTACTCTATCAATTTGTGTCTCTATAATACAAACAAGGGTGGGGGCAAAAATCTTCGCGAAGTCACGAAGCTCGCGAACTGTCGCAGCGTTGCCCGCGCCACGATAGTTCCAACTGAGGACACTCATTGATCCCGGCGGCGCCCCTCGTCGGAGCCCGCCAAAATGTTTCTTGCTGCCAGAATGCCTAATTTTCCATCCTCATCAGTCTTGTTTCTCTTGGTCTCTCTCTTCGGCGGAGGGCTGATGGGAGTATGGCTCGGTTGAGCAACAACAAGCTCCATCCCAGTCACCGTGGGGGTGGTAATCTGCTCCATCGTTTTTCCGCTCGACTGATCAACATTGTTCACAAAAACTGGGTTCGTTCTTTTCCTGCTCGGATCAAACATGTCCACATCTGTCTTGCCCGATGGTTCCTCCCTTGGTGCATGAGTACTTGCTGAGTCATTCGCTGGTTGCCCCCTTGACCTGCCTCCAGATCGGCCTCCCCTGCGGCCACCACGGCGTCCACTGCCATCCCCAGGTCCCCTTCTGTCGCGCATATACCAGTCAGCTCTGAGTTCTTTAAACACTAGCGCAGAGGGATGATGAACCCCATTGCCATGCTCCTTGTAAAGATGACCCAACATCCCATAAACGGCACACCAGTCGGGGAGTTTTTCATATTTGACCTTGTAGATCTGTCTCTTGCCATCTCTTATCATGGACACAGCGTTCCTCAGTGGTTTGTGGACATTGATGCGTATCCAAACACGAAAAAAAATGCCTGTGAAGTCATGGGATTGGGCTTCCACAAACAGAACTTCACCCACGTTGGCAGCAAGAGGTTGGACTAGGTGAGCATACAGATCTGGCACATCATGGATTTGAATCCATATATCAATTGTTTCCAGTTTGACCGTTGAGGGTTTTGAGATCCCATCATATGGTGCAAGAAGCACCGCATCCCCCTGAAGTTCCAAGGCCCTTCCTGCATGACTCGTTCCCAATCTCCCAAGCACGAAAACTGGACAGAGTACAAGTTATCCTCGAGGGGTTTGAATTTTGCTTCCTGCGCTATGTTCCAGGCCGAGCGCATATTCCTGTAGAACCACGTCTGACTATAGTTCTTGTTGGTGTTCACCTTGATCAATGCGACCCACCATGGCAGATCCGGGGGAGCATCTTTTTCCTCAAAGACAACATCATCCAGATCCTCCTCCCGCAGGCCAAGCTCCATCATCATCTTCTCTACATCACTGAGACCAGAGGAGCCCGAGGCTCCATCGTCAGCCATATCGAAACACTCACCCGATAGCAGCAGTAGATCGGGTTTTTTGGGAACCCTAGTCTCCGCCGCGTCCCGATCCTGGCCAGGAGGATGCAAGATGCCCCTGGATCGATCCCAGCCGAAAAGCGGGGCATGGGCCGGCGGTAGGGGAGAGAAAACTCGACGGCGGCGACCAATCGCCCCGAGAGAACGAGAGGAAACCCTAACTAGAGGGAAAATTAGCTGCTTTTCGTGTGATCCTCCTGGTCGCCCCAATCGGACGGATGCTAGCCCGACCGGCCAAAAATTGGGCCGGCCAGGCGGCACCCAGCGCTGGCCTTCGATTAGACGCATGCGGCGGAAACGATGAGAAGGGCAGACAGTCGAGCGAGTGCACACAGTGGTAGTTCGCCGAGAACAGTGCGCGGGGGAGCCGCGCGGCCCACTCGCAGTCACACGACGGACCAACCCACCTCAACCCGGTCCACGCCCCCAAATTTCTGGTGGCTTCCGTGCCTCTCGATCCCATCCCATCCCAACCCCACTCCTCTCCGTCCGGCGCTGCCGCGTCGCGCCGCAGCTCGCATGTAAGCGATCGCCGCCCTGCCCGCCACCGTCCGTCCGCCCGTCCGGCCGGCCATGGCGTCCACGCTGCTGCGCAAGGTGTGGGGCTCCGTGCTGGCCCGCGCCGGGCCGCGCGACCCGGACGCCTCCGCCTCCTCCTCCTCCCCGCGCCGCCGCGGCGCCCCGGCGGCGGCGGCGGCGGAGTACGGCTCCCTGGGCGCGCTGGACGCGGTGCCGATCGACGTGCTGGCGCAGATCCTGCGCCTGCTGGGCCCCGCCGACGCCGCGCGCTCCGCCGCCGTGTGCCGCACCTGGCGCCTCCTCGCCTCCGACAACGCGCTCTGGGCCTTCTTCCTCAGCCTCGGCCCCGACCCCTGGGACCTCGTCGTCTTCGCCGAGACCCACCTCGCCGCCGGCCCCGCCGAGCCCCGCAGGTTGCCCCCCTTCCCCCCTCCTCCTCCTGGCTGGCTCCTCACGCGGCCCGGGCCTTTCCGTTTTGGCGTCCCCGCCTCGTTCGCCTCCTAACTAACAGCACTGTGCCGTGCCACTGCGTACGCAGCGTCTACTTCGGTACTGTTCGCGTACCGCCGCAGCTCTCCTTCAAGCGCATCTACGGACAGCGAGCGCTCGTCCCGGGCTCCATCATAGTCGATGGTAAGTAGTAAGAGCCAGCATCTCCCTGTCATGCGCTTAATCATCTAGTCAGCCAGCGATTGTATATGTATGTATGTATTGGTTGCTTCATTAAGGGATTGTACAACCAACAAATTCCCCCATTTGGACAACTCTAATGATCTTACCTTCAGTCACTACACATTTTTCCCCCAAACGGCCATGCGTCCGGACTCCGGGTTCCACTGTTAACGGTAATAGAACATAACATGGTTCAAGCATCCCGATGCAATTGAAAGCAAACACTTCAATTACTAGACATGATAACCATTTTTTAGGGGAATCGGCATTGTTTATTGGCCCCCGTTGTTTTGATTTTCTGGCCTCCTTTAAAATGGTGTGTTCCCTGTTGTTTGTTTTCTTAAATTATAGGTGGATCAGGCTATTGCAAGTATGGCTGGAGCAAGTATGCTGCTCCTTCTGGGCGTTGTGCTACTTTTCTGGTAAGCTGTGGTGATCAGTAAAATATTGAATCTACCAAGCCATTGAGCGTCAATCATTTATCATGACAATTTTTTTTCTTTGTGGAACACTGTGACCAATTTTGGTTAACAACTTCACGGTAATAATAAGATAATTGAATTGATGATACTATCATTTATGTCCTAATTTTGCTGGGACCATCATGCAGGAATTTGGTAACATTGAGTCCCCTATGCATGCAAGACTTCGTCACTTTTTCTCGACAATCTATAACAGGTATGTAAGATCTTTGAAGTTCCACTGCAATATCTTGTATATAAAAAAAATTGCTTTACCTTTTCTGCTCCATTTCAATAGACAACATTTTCCGTTGATGATTTGAGTTCTCCTCATCTCTTGCTTGATCACAACACACGAGCAATCAATATGCATATCCAGATATTCTTGCCATAAACTCTATCTATTCTTGACTTTTTTATAGGATGCATGTAAAGCCTTCTGCTCGACCAATTGTTGTTGCCCTTCCCCTCTGCCACTCCGATGGTTAGTATTTTTAGGTGATACAATTTTCTACTTTATCATTCTCTATTCTGTCTTACATTGTTTACCTTTATCACTATTTCTATATGGCGGCCCTGTTATATGGTTACATTTTTTTGCCCATCAATTTTTTTCAAAATCAGGGGCCATCCCTCGGTTTCATTTCAATTAAGAAAAGAAACCGCGAACGAGTTCTTACACCGACAGACAGCAAAAACTAAAGGAGTGTCTACCAGCCTGCCGCAAGAGCACAGCATAAAGCAAACCAACGAAACCAACACAATATGAGTTCAAAAGACCCCAAACAGACATGCAGGCTAGGGGGTGTCACAAATAGTAACTAGAGAACAGCACATGGATGGAGTCTTCTTCGTTGGGGTGCTGCTTCTGATATTCCATGGTGCTCCTTCCACCATGTGCAGCATTCCCCACCGCCTCCTTCAAGGATACAGAGCCAACCCACCTGTTGCAGTGTATCAGTCTGGTTCCAGTGCAAAAGGTGCCATCAGACGACAGATGCATCCACGGCGAGGTCTAAAATTCCATCAGGAGCCCTCCCTGTAAATCCTGGAACGGTTTTGTGTGATCTCTCAAATAACGAGAGACCAGTCCTAGCACCTGTTTCATAGTGATCCAGGAGCACCTACTAAAAACAATGGAGTTCCTAAAATTCCACAGCCCCCACAGGACAGCAGAAGAGACTACATTAAGATGAAGATATTTTTTGCGACAGAGCCAGAGTTTTGCAACCAATTCAAAGTTAACAATAGAAACTTGAAACAATTTTTCAACATCTGCCCATCAATTTGTCACTATGGTTGATGAACAATTTCAAACTTCTTTGTCTGACCGTATGTTTCTAACTCAACTTGGCGCAGATACCGAGGCTGCTAGGGCCTCAAGAAAGCAATACAAGGAGACATTGTACTCGGTTTTGTTCGACATGAATGTTCCTGCTGTTTGTGCTGTTGATCAAGTAAGCATTTTTATGTTCCCTTGGGTGATTTTGTTCGCCCTTTCATTTATCACCTCTTGATGTACTTTTTGGTTCAACCTTGTGTACCACTGTCCCTTTGATTAATTTTTTTGTCATAATGAGATTTGAGACACTATTTTTTTTGGATTTATCTTTGGAAAAGTATAAGATTCGCATATTATATTGTGTCAGAATCATGAGTCGCGGTTCAAGCTGGACACCTGGAACTTCTCAATTAAGAATTTTCTGTAATACATTTTCTATATTTTGTCGTCAAATTTAAATTGAACCTCGATGTAGTTGTAGTCTTGTAGAAGCCACCTTTCTGTTTACTTTATTCATTAACTTTACCTGCTGAAGAAGATATTTTGGGAGATTGTTGACATGTGTTTTTGCAGGCACTCCTAGCTTTGTATGCTGCTAGACGAACCTCTGGTATTGTTGTCAACATTGGATTCAATGTCACATCCGTTGTGCCCAGTAAGTTCTGGTGTAAGGTTCGACTCAGTCGACCATCTTACTATTTTCTTCAGTATCTGATGTATCTTCTCTTAAGATCAGTAAACATGGCCGATATTCCAAGCCTTTAGGCCTACCACAATTTTATTACATTGAATATCAACTTAATGCAAAGAACCTGCTTGAGTATTGATAAGACTATGTGTGGGCTGTAGACTGATAATTATTCATGGTCGGGCTTTGTCCCAAAATGTTTATAACACATGGAAGTGCGTCTAGATCAAGTGGTAAAAATACCCATTTGTTTTATCTTATGTATTTTCCTTGCAACAGTCTTTCAAGGTAGGGTGATGCGTGAGATAGGCATTGAAACTGTGGGGCAAGGTGCTCTGAAACTTACTGGATTTCTAAAGGAGCTATTGCAGCGAAGGAATATTTCTTTTGAATCACTGTACACTGTTCGGACAATCAAGGAGGTAGGGTTTTTGTTTATTATCCCAATATAGCTAATGTAATTTGCTGTAGCTTGCGTTCTCCACATAAATATCACCTAGTGGCCAGTTGTGCTTGTAACTGATTAGTTGGGGTGCTTGAAGCCTATATTATTAGTTGAGGACGACATAGTAACAAACTATTTGTGCTTGGAGCCATTAGTTGGGCAACCTATTTTGATTATGTACATGACAGAAATGGAGATGATAGCTAACACATGATTCTACCTCCCTTTCCTCTTCTATCTGTAAAGAAAATTTGCTACGTCGCGGCTGATTATGAAGCAGAACTATGTAAGAACACACAAGCTTCCTGTGAGGTGGATGGTGAAGGGTGGTTCACTCTATCAGAAGAAAGATTCAAGATGGCAGAAATCCTTTTCCAGCCCCAGATTGGAGGAGTGTATGTTATCTTCTCTGTTGCGTAACCTTGCTTGTCCTTTTCCTTTTAATACGGTTCGCTTACGCTTGCTCGATGTTGGTGTTGCAGTCGTGCTATGGCTTTGCACAAAGCGGTATCCCTATGCATGGATCACTGCTACAATTATGAGGTGCTCTGTGACCACAGCTGGTTCAAGACGGTGGTTTTAGCTGGTGGATCGTCGTGCTTACCTGGTTTGCCAGGTATGCTTGCCTAATGCATTTTAATACTGAACAGCTGATTGGAAGTTAATGCATAACACAACAAATCTAGAACACTGGTGGATAAGGCTGTATTTTCATTGTGAACAGAGAGGCTTGAGAAAGAGCTCCACAAACTTCTTCCTCCATACATCTCAGAAGGAATAAGGGTTCTGCCTCCTCCATTCGGCACAGACACCGCCTGGTTCGGTGCAAAGATGATCGGCACTGTAAGGACAGCGTCGATTCTGGTGACCAGTTTATCGCACTTTTATCTTCACTAATGACTGCCCTAATTCAGGTGAGCACTTTCTCGGACGCATGGTGCATAAACAAGAAGCAGTTCCGCCAGAAGTCACGCCACAGTGGTTCGTCCTTAGTGAATGCATGGCGATAGATCCTAACGGCCGCAGCTATAACTGGCAAAGCCAGGGAAAGAGCCATGAGGTTGTTATCCTCTAAAATATGCTGCAGATCTATACAGCATCAGTCCAAGGTGTACATAACAGATATGGTTACATATGGATGATAGATTATTGCGAGTAAATAAAAATGATAGATTGTTATTGGTTATGGAATGCTGTATAGCACAAGTGAATGCATCAGGCTGTGCGCATTTAGTATGATTCTCTATCATTTATGTACCCGTACATTATTGTTTGCAGATGAAATAATACCGTCTATTTATCTTGAACTGGATCACACTCTAATTTATCGTTGCCCTTCCAATTCTTTTCGTTTTGTGAAGTTAAATATGGCTTTTACTCCTTACGTTGCAAATTATTTGAAGTTCTAGCTTTATCTAAGTCAAATTTCTATATATTTGGCCAAGTTTGTTGAAAGATGTGTTAGTACTAATATCTACAGCATCAAATATGTGTTTGTATGAATATGTTGCATCTAGTGAAACTAATTTGTGTCGTGGATGTTGATGATTTTTATATATAGTCAAAACTTTAAATTTGACTTGGCACAAACCTAGGATTTCAATCTGCAATCACTCCAATTCTGCCGTTGAAGCACGGATCAAGCCTCATTGAATTGCCACAATAAGAGACCATCATGTATGATGGAGATTCACCCAATTCCGCTGTTGAAGAACAAATCAAGCCTCATTGGATTGCCACAATCGTGTATAATTGAGATTCGCCGCTAAGCACATTGGCGACGGGACTGCCTGATCTAGATAGGCAGCATCATCACAAGACCAAAAGGACCTTTGCGAGGCGAAAGAATAAGCTGTGTCGTTGGAGTCAGGCCGATGGAAAAAAAAACTCATGTTCCAGTGATGTCCTGTTAGCATGTGAAATTATAAGTACACAAATTCGTTTATACAAGGTAAAAAACAAAAATCAACATTGAATAGTGCCCAATGTCACTATTCATAGATAATTTTCTTCTCTTAAATGGGTTTTTTTTTAACTTGGAATTTCACATGACCGTCTTACCATACTTTATACTCCCTCTGTAAACAAATATAAGAGTGTTTAGATCACTAAATAGTGATCTAAACGCTCTTATATTTCTTAAAGGAGGGAGTAGTATATTTTTTGGACTTTCAGATTTTCCACAAAATTTTCACTGGAACTTGTTTTTCATCTCTCCAATCCATTAAGCATTTCAAGTAGTAATGCTACTCCCTCAGTCCCATATTAATTGCCACTGCATTCTCTACTTCATATGCAATTCCAAAGAAAAGTTTGCATTGCTCTGTTTCTATGACATAATCATTCAGAAAAATTACAGACCCAACAGGCATGAATTTTAGGCACTTGGATTTTCTTAGGAATTTTAGGTACCTTTGCTTCCACATTTTCAACTTCAAAAACCCAATAAAGCATGCAATGGATAGCCACACATATCATAGATACGACAGAGATTTAACTTAATGGATAACGAAACGTCAGGTAGAACAGACTACCCAGACCCAACGGACTTGACATGGCAAGAGTACATTCATACGAGTTCAACAGGGGCACGACGGCCTCAAAAGTCCTTTCACTTCGTCGCGGGGTGGGGTGATACTTTGGCTGGTTATTTAGGTGATAACGGTTCTGGGCTCGGCGCATCCATGGTCACCAGCTGGCCGTCCAGGCTCTAGCCCATGGCATACTTCTGTGTCCAGGAGCGTGCCGTGGACTCATACTTGGCCCGATCAGTCTTGTACATGTGAGCGATCTCAGGCACCAGGGGATCATCGGGGTTGGGGTCCGTCAGCAACGAACAGATTGACAGGAGGACCTGTTAATAGAGACGGGTAAAATGTTAGAGAAACATAGCTTACGGATTTTTGTGAGATGTTAGAGACGGGTCATATCAGCAACAAGCTTTAAGCAAAAATGGAACCAAGCTAGGAATGCAGATCATTACCTTTGATATGGTCAAAGCCGGGCTCCACTGTTCCTTGAGAATGTCAAGGCAAATGCTGCCGTTGCTGTTGATGTTTGGGTGGAACACCTTGGTGCGGAAAGAGACCTGAAATATGTTCATGTCTGAATGTCAGGAAAAAAAAGATAAGATAGCAAAGCAGCAGCAAACTACTCCGTCCGAAACTAAATACTCCACTATGGACTACATACAGATGTATAGACATATTTTAGAGTGTAGATTCACTCATTTTGCTTCGCATGTAGTCCCTTATTGGAATCTCTAAAAATACTTATATTTAGAGAGGGAGTGGTTGTTTGAGGACCCCCAAGACATTTGTGTAACAGCAATTCCAATATCATAGGATCAATATGAACTCCTTTACAAAGGTTAGCTCGGTACACCGGAAATTACCTTCGGGGGCTTGAAGGGGTAATCCGGTGGGAAATGAATGTTCACCAAAAATAGACCACCGGTGAACGGACTGTCAGAGGGTCCCATGATAGTTGCCTGCCAGTGGAACATGTCCTCACCTACAGGACCTGCCCAAATCAAAGTAAAGTAATACAGTCAGACAAACATTTGTATCAAGCCAGTCAAGTATGAGTAATAAACAAGTCATATTTGCTGCGAGATCAAGCGGCTGCCAGCTTTAGTTATGTGTGAACAAGTTCAGAATTAGACATGAAATTATGTTATCGAGGGTTATCCATCATATACACGTCCAGTAGTGATTAGAATAATTCAAAGTTGATTGCTCATTATCAATAGGTTAGTAGAACCAACTGTTGTATTAAATAACATCAAGTCACCCAGGACACTAGGGCATCAACTGTAGCCAGGTATCTCCACTAAAACACAGAACAACAGGTTTACACACATTATGAATGCTAAAGTTGCTTCAATAATTATATTTATAACTGTATGCATTGATAGACCACTAAAACATAGGCCACTCTTGATGATTCCCTCTATTGGTTTGGATGGTACTTCTCATGTTTCTCAAATCAGATTTACACAACATTAACAATGCTAAAGTTGCTTCAGTAATTACATTTCAACCAGTATGCATTGATAGACCAAGGGAAACAGGTGATCATTGCAACCTACTAAAACATAGGCCACTCTTGACAACTCACTCTATTCATCATGCTAGTACTCTTTATGCTTCTTAAATAAGGTTTAAACAACATCACCAAAGCTAAAGTTGCTTCAGTATTTATATTTCTTCCAGTATGCATTGATAGACCAATGAAGAAAGGTGACCATTCCTACTAAAACATAGGCATAATTCTCCCTATTGATTTGGTTGGCACTGTTTATGCTTCTTAAATAGTCTAGTCCATGCCTAACAGATAAGGTTGGTACTGTATGTTTAATAAGTAGTCCTAGTCCATGCCTAACTGTCCATATAAACTGCAAGTCCTCGGCAATTTTAATTTCTTTTGGTTAATGGCTGTTAAGATAGCATATAGTGCTACTGTGGTGCATGTTCCACCCATGTGGTACTGACCTAATGAGCTGTTCACTGTAAACTGCAATAAGGTTGGCATACCTTAACCTAACAAAACAAAATCCAAGGGTTTTTTAATGACCTGCTCAGAAGATACATCACACACATGACATGAGTCAATCGTATTAATAGGCCATGTACAGTTAATAAGTAGAGTACTCTCCGCCAATCAATCAGCAAACCCTAAAGCACTGCGCGAGCAGAGCTAAACAATCGACAACCTAACCCTCATGACCAGTAACTAACAACCAGACCACGCAAACGGCGCGCTCATCCTGACGCAATTCAACTCGGGGCGAGATCTAGACGGAATCGGAAGGGGCGGAGGGGAAATCACCTGCGCTGCATGAGGTGGGAGGGTCCTTCTGCAGGTCCTTGAGCTCCTTGAGGATCCTCTTGGACGCCATGGGATCAAACCCTAAATCACCGAAATCCGGCACAGATCAGGCCCTAGAAAACAGATCGGGCAGAGGGAGGGGGTGCGGCGGCGTCGCGCGTACCGACCGGCGGGGTGCGCGGGGGCGACGGGGCCGGCGGTGCTGTGGCGGCGGGCGGCGGCCGCCTCTCCCCTCTGCGGCGGCGGACGGCGGTTGGGGACCACGGGGCAGGAGGGGGCGAGAAGGAGTCGGAGGATTTGGGTGTGGGCAGGCCGGGGGCGCTTTATATAGGGCGGAGGGGCGGCCTGGGCCGTCCGATCGGGGATCGACGACCGCCCGCGGCTCGCGTGATGCTTACGCTGGACGCGCACAGATTCGCCCCCCTTTCGGTGCTTTTCGGGTGGGGAGGAAATAAGCATGTTTTTTGGGAAATTTCGCAAACAAGACGCCATTAGCCCTCAGCCGGTGACGATGACAGGTGGGGCCGGTCCCAACTCTAGGGTATTTAGTGATTCCCTTGATGAAGTGTACCCTTTTTTTTTCTCTGCTTACTTATATAGTACTCCTTCTGTAGCTTTTTTAAAGATTTCAATGCGGACTACATACAGATGTATGTAGACGTACTTTAGAGTCTAGATTCACTTATTTTTCTTTGTATGTAGTCTGTAGTGAAATTTTTAGAAATACTTATATTTAGAAACAGAGAGTACTTAAAAAAGGTGTTCTTTTCCAAAGTGATTCGTCCAACCTTACATACGTTTTCCTCCCTCTCATTTTGATTTTACTTTGTCTTTGGGTTTTTTCACCGATTTCCCATGAAAACCGTCTTAACTATCCCATCTTTTATTGAGTTAACAGATAAAATTATGTTGTCTTTCGTAGACCAATAAAAAATGGTAAAAATATGTTTTTTTATTTAGGTAGTCATTGGTAGGGCTTTATAAACATTTATTTACAACTCATCAGGGTTTAAGTGATAGACTTGGCACCGGTGTGACCATTTTTCTAGATTATTTTAAACATTTTGGCAACGTTTGTTTGGCTAGAGGAGATGTTTTTTTTTGCGGGGAGGCTAGAGGAGATGTTCCCCACGACTACGAGACGTTAAAAGTGACTTCGTTAATCTTAATATGTTGTGTTACCTCGGTATCTTTGGGTGAGTATATGCATGCGTATGAGAGCATCTGCGATTGTATTGTGTTCCAAAATAATATGGGTAGGTAAATCATGGACTAACATACTAGAATATTTATAGCATGTCGCATGGGTAATTATCTTTGTCATTTAACAAATAGTGCTCCTATTTTATTCATCATTTTATTTCAAAATCATCTTAACTATTCCATCTTTTATCGTCTTATAAAGTAAAATTATGTTTACTTCCTCCGTTTCTAAATATTTGTCTTTTTTATAGATTTCAAATGGACTACCACATATGGATATATATAGACATATTTTAGAGTATAGATTCACTCATTTTGCTCCGTATGTAGTTATTTGTTGAAATATCTAGAAAGACAAATATTTAGGAATGAAGGGAGTATTTGATAAGTCAATAAGTTCTTACCATATACTCTATTCATTCGGAAATACTTGTCGGGGTAATGGATGGATGTATCTAGACGTATTTTAGTTTTAGATACATCTTTTTTTATACATTTTTTCGACAAGTATTTTCGGCCGGAAGGTGCAATTGTTTTTATTTAGGTAGATAAATCACGGGCGGAAAATTATAAATATTTATTTGTATAATCACATTAGGGCAAGTAAAAACACGAGCTAACATTTGTATATTTATAACAATGTGGCAATGCACGGATAATTGTCTAGTGAAGGAATGAAGAAAAAGAAGAGGACGAGAGACCATGCTTGATGAATATCCTTTTTTGTGCGGAAAAGGGACTTTCCATTCATCAACTAGAGGCTGTTACGTATAAGGGAGAATCTCCTCCGGTGCATGGTGGACCCAAATAGCCGTACGAGTCGTCATACTCGTCTGAACAAGCTTATGGATGACAGTGTTGCTATTAGAATTTTCTGTGATCCCTCTCAAATTCTGACTTGGTTACTGAAAATTTCGAGTTAAGCCTAACAAACTAGAAAGGAAACAGTACATGTTTATATTCTGTACACAATTTTCTATATTTAAATAGCTAGCCTTTACTAAGATATTTTTCTCAACATACAAGCATGCCACCTCATCATTCAACATGCATAAGAAAAGACCCACCTCAACATGCAACTATGCATATTAAAAATCCACTACGACATGCATGCATGTAAAAATTCCATTTTTATGCTATTTACATTTAATTCTTATATACTTTCAGAAACTATTGTTTCAAAAATTCATGTTCCGTATAATCAAAATCTTATTGAAATATTGCAAACATTCCCGCAACAACGTGCGGGGCATCATCTAGTTATGCTAAATGAAGATACTTATGATGTTTACACTTTCCAAAGAGGAATATTCAACAAGTTTTGTGGATACATAATAGTAGTTTGTTAGTAAAACCACGGATAGAAAACGTGATATACTCCCTTCTTTCCGGTTTTTATTAGGCTCATCTCATTCTCTTAGCTTTTTCATATTATAAGTCTTATTTTCACTTCTTTTCACCATGTGTTCACATTTCAAGGTGCAGTAAATTGATGCACACAAAAATTAAAAGAAACCAACCAATGCATGTAACGGTTATACTCATTAGCGGTCATCCATGCATACGCTACAATTAATGCAGATTAAAGTTTGAGTAATTTTGAAACTACGAGATATATTCCTTCACTCACCATCTATCTTGGTTGATGAGATTTCAGATTTAAACCCTATAAACCGAAAAGGAGGAAGTATCTTCATTGACAAGACAAGCAAAAGTCAATTTTTTGACGGGGAAATATTTGGAGCTTTTATTCAACAATCGAAGCCCCTGCAGAATCTGCAAGGAGGCTAGTTACAATGATGCCAGGGGCAGAGTCAAACCAACATTCTGTTACATCCAGTGTGCTTGCATGTCTAGCACATAGGTGAGCAGGGTAGTTGGCTGTTCTCGAAATATATTGAATACAAAAAGACTTAAAACTAGAAGAATGCTCCAAAATTTCGGACAGGATGGGCGCCACAACAGTCCTATCATCATGATGCGAGTTCCAGAGATTAACGACCTCCAGGCAGTCGGATTCTATCACGACTTTCTCATAACCCCTGAGCTTAGCAAATATGACACCGTCCCGGATTGCTAGGGTTTCAGAGATAAGGGGGTCAGTAATCCCCTGATAAGGTTTACACCATGCAGCTCTGAAAGTGGAATGGGATCGAGCAACTCCTCCCACCCCTCCTCTTCGAGCTTCCAATGCAACACTGCCATCAGTGTTTATCTTGACCCCCCCCCCCTCCTCAGGTGGCCTCCATCCATGGCCCGGAAGTAGCCGGGACTGAGCCTTTGGTAGATCAAGCAAAGCTAAAGTATCTCTGGTCATTTTCATGGACTGTATTGGGTCGAGGCCACCTTTATCATGAGTTATATTATTTCTAGACGTCCAAATAGCCCACATGATCGTCACCAGTTTGGCTCGATCGGACTCAGAGAACTTGGGATCACAAATGATATCCTTTGACCATGTTAGAGGGTGTAGGTCAGGTCGGTTTACCCCAAGCCAAACCGGAGCTTGAGTCCAAAACCCTCTCGTGTGGGAACAATTCAACAATGCATGCATCATGTCTTCATCTTCATGCTGACAAATTTTGCACTGGCTCACTGTTGCTATATGTCGATATTTGAGTGTGTATTCTACTGGCAGAATACCTCGTAAAACCCTCCACCAAAATACTCTCACTTTTGGCAGAACCTTCAGTTTCCATAATGTGGTTCATAACTGTTTCTCTGTTGTTGACGTTTCGACTACCGTCCCTTCCTCTAGAGCCAAATGCTCGTTCTGAGTCACTAGAGCGCGGTAAGCTGACTTGACAGTGTATGAACCAGATCTCTCCAAAGCCCATGCCAAAATATCATCACCACCGCCAATCCTTGGGGGGATGTTCAGAATGGCGTCTGCATCTGATGGTATGAAGTTCTCTCTGATTACCTGATCTTTCCAGAGCCAAATTTCAGGGTCGATAAGATCAGACACTTGCTGTAGCTGCGCATTACCAATGTGAGCAACCGGAGTCATAGTTCTGGTATCAGGGATCCATTTGTCCTCCCAGATAGAAACAGTCGTGCCGCTTCCAATGCGCTTAAGCAAGCCCGATTTCAACGCTTCCCTGCCTGCGATTATAGCCCTCCACACAGCAGAAGAAAACTTAGGTGCAGTAGCTTGCATGAAATCACAGGAGTGGAAATATCTTCCTTTCAAGACCCGCGAACACAGAGAGTTGGGATTCGTCATCAAGCGCCACCCATGCTTGCCGAGTAGTGCTAAATTAAAGAGTTGCAAGTCTTTGAATCCCATCCCTCCTTTAACTTTTGGTGCAGCCAAAGAATCCCAAGATAACCAATGTAAAGACCGGCGATCAAGGTTACTGCTCCACCAGTATTTGGCCATAAGCGAGGCCAACTTCTTACACACTTTTTTCGTTAGCTGGAAGCAAGACATACTGTGTGTGGGAATTGATTGGGCGACTGCTTTAATCCTGACTTCCCTTCCAGCGCATGAAATAAGTCTCTCTACTCCACCTTGGAGTTTTGACCGAATCCTCTCCCCGATGTGGTCAAAAGTTCCTCCAGTAATTCGACCGACAGCCGTTGGAAGGCCAAGGTAGCGTTCACCAAAAGCTTCCACTGAAATCTGCAGTGTTTGCTTTAGTAAAAACCTTGTAGGATCAGGAGTGTTTGGGCTAAAAAATATTGCACTTTTTTCTTTATTCACTGCTTAACCAGAACACTCCTCATAGATGCGAAGAATCTCATTCAACCGATGAGCACTCTGCACCTTAGCTTGCAGGAAGATCAGGCTATCGTCCGCAAAAAGTAAATGATTGATCCAAGGACATCGATAGCTAACTGTAAGTGCATCTAGTGCCACCCCTA